CGACCTGTTGTTGAGAGGGGAGATGTAAAACTGCATGTTTTTTGGTACTTAAAACCACAAATATATCTTCTTATGAATAATAACACTCCAAAATAACAGAGGAACATATGGGGCCTTAAAGCCCTACCTTTTTTCACTTTTTGTGTACGATTGAGCACAACACAATAAATGCCTTCAAGCAGAGACTGTCCTAACGTTTGTGCCGTCTTTCCATTTGTATAATTCAGCTCACTGAGAAAACATGGACACAGGGTTGTTGTTATCACAGCCAGAGGAGCCTAATGGCAGGTTTGGAACAGGTTTAAAGACCTTTTGCCTTCAGACATATTCAAATAACATGTCATATGGCCTAGTTCGTTTGAAGTATACTGAGGCCTTCAGAATTTCATCAAAGTAATGGTAGGATTTTTTTTTTTTACAGCTTCCAACAGAACAGCCTCAAAAGGAGTCAGAACCCCTTTGAAACTATTTCTGTTTCTCTAGCTTTAAGTCCCTATACTAGTTTTTCCTTCTGACTCATAATACCTTCAACTGCAGACTGTCATGCAAGCTTTTATTGCTTAGTCTTCAACCTCAAAGCTCATCATGGCCATTGCGACCCTCCGAAAAGCCTCCGAAAGCATGCCTTTCATCCCTGCTGCAGCTGAAAAGATGCTGGTATGTTGCCTGAATGTCCATAAAGCCCTCCAGCGAATTCTGACAAAAAAAACGACTCAAGTTGTAGATGCCAGACTTACATGAGTGCAGGCGCTGGAACAAGCTGAGATAGACCAGTAAGTGAAAAGAGAGAGCTTACCCCACTCAAAACCATTCACTTGTGTCAGCACTTTGTGGGTGTTTTTTTTTTTTTTCTTTTCTGTAAATACAACCCTGCCTGAGGAGAGGCAGGAGCATTCACCCGGGAAGTGGATATCTTCTATTTGCATTGTCACAGGTGGAAACGTGCCCCACTGCGAATCTCTCTTATCCAGACTGCTTAGAGACCAACATATATCCGTGTGCATGTGTGCCACCTGGTATGCCGCCTTACGGGGACAATCCCATTTCCAGCTCAGTGCTTTATCACCTCTATGACCCGTAATTCATCGAGCCCCAATGCGAGCTGCTGCGGCGTGACAGAACCCGATTCTGCGTCTTTGTATGGGGTTTGTGTGCCTCCTCTTCAGCAAACCGAGTTCCTCAGATACAGTGTTGCTCCTTATTCCTGTTTTTTGTGTCAAGAAGATTGAGGATATCAATAAGGGTTTCTCAATGAGTCCCTTTTGGCCTTCTAATGCATCCATTGAGAATAATGGACGTGCCAATTGGACTGATGCTCAGACCCGAGCAGCAAACAGCCTTCAGGGGCAGATCCATCAAGATTTACCGCCTAGACGATAACCTCCGCCTTACTACCACCACCAGTAGCCCCCATCACCAATACCTCTCACATACACATACTCACAAACATACACACACACCTTCCGCCCACTGCCCACTCGTTACTCGAGGGCTGACTGACTGGTGGAGAAATCAGCCATTAGCAAGGGGCTGTGTGTAGCTTCTCGGCAGCAAATTAATGGACCCTTGTTCATTGTTTTTCAGCCGCCAGATACACTGCAGGGCAAAGCTCTTACAGAGACATAAACAAAACCAAACAAAGCAATGAGGCTTTTTCGTTTCATTAAGCTGTTTTTATTTAGAGTTTTAGTTTGTGATGTAATCTGCATCAGCTGGTGACTGCAAATTTTGTGAATTGAGCAGTGTGTGAAAATGTAAATAACCATTTTTCCTTTCATGCTCTGTGTGAGTTCAGGTGGTGCAGTGGATGAGTGAGTTTGTTTGACTTTAAGTCCAACAAATCAGACTTCCGTTTCTAGCTCATGCTCACACTACATCGGTGAGACCAGAAACACAAAGTGGCAAAGGCAGAAGTAGCCTCATCACAAAAAGTGTTATAGGTCCCATATTTTACACTTTTCCTATGTTTTATTTGAAGTGTTGATCCATCTGAAGGTATATTTGTAGTTTTAAGAACCAAAAAACATCTCAATGTAGTTTTAGATCTCCACTCACAGGCTTCTCTCTGGAGCTGTAGCAACAACAGGTCGATGAGCTGATGGGTTTCTGAGTGATCAGATAAAAAATAAAGCAGATTTTCAGGAAAACACTCAGAGAAACCAAATCCTGGATGGTGTATCCCGGTGGGGGCGGGGCCATATTGACTTTTTGAATACAGGCTGTGTGCATTTCTCAGTGGACTGAACGCTTTAATAGTTCATATGAATAATTTTTTGCATATGTAGTTGCTTTGTGAAATCTATTTTGTCATTTAAGTGTGAGAATTTGTTGCTAGAAAGACCACCTCAATGGATAGTTCAGCTACTTGCATTTTAGAGAAGGGTTGCAGAGCTTTTAGTCCAGAATCAAGGTCAGTTTATAACCTGATTTAAAGTATGTGCTAAAATTTGGTACTAAGCTTTCTATTGACTTGGTTTTGTTTTGTTTGCAAGGTCAGTTTACATTACTAAATCATGAACAAATCTGATCTGAAAGTGTTTTTTTTTTAAGTGTTTAACAGATGAAAATTTCACATAATCCCACTACCACAGTGGAATATGGAAACATAAGACAATGTGTGCACAGGTTAGTAAAAACAGGCTGCATATTTTAAGCTCTGAAGAATGCAAACGATAAATTCCCTCCTGTCTTCGATGCGTGAACGGGGCACATAACCCTCCACTGTTCACATCGCAGGGCACAGTTCACACTGCATGTGAACAGAAAAATTCTACATCAATTAGTAGCTTCCTTTTCTAATTTGTATCATGATTCTGTGGTACAACATCTTATCCCGAGTAAAAGCCCTGAAATATGCTTTTTGTCTTTCTGGATCTGCATCTCCCTGTTTATGAATGTGCAGAGCTTAGCTGAAAAACTGTATGCATTCGAAACATCTTTGCTGTTCAAATCTCAGAAAAGCCAGTATATCCGACTCTGACAGCACATCTGTAATCCCCTCTTTAGCTGACAAGACATCGCAAAGATTCACTATTATGTGTAATACATTCTTATCGGGATTTATCCTTATTAAAAAGTAATGGCACTGAATCTCAGCTATGACATACAGCAGGTATTTATCACATCCCATGTGACTTTGAAAGTTGGCCTTCTGTCTGATGCCAGAGCAAAAACTGTAATCTGGTCTGGCCTGTCGTAACAGATGCAGCCTTGGACAGATCCCCAAGTTGCCCATCCTCCTCTTCCTCCTTACCCTATTCTCATCTATTGATTCATTCATCCATTCATCTCCTAACCAACTCTCGCTTGGCTCTGTCCTTTGATTTGTTATTATTGTCAGAGCTGTGAGTGCTCGGTGTGGCCAAATGGTCATTTCAGCTCAGCATTTTAAATGGTTTCCATGAGAACACAAGAGATTGGTGTTGTGATGATTGTGCCAGGAATGCAGAATTGTCTGTTGTGCTTTCCAAAAATGTGATTTTGAGGCAGTGAATAGCCGATTATTTTTTTTTTTTGACAGATTAGTTCATGAATGTCACTTTTTGAAAAAATTGTGGGAATCACAAATGAGAAGGGATGTGATTCCATGTGAATCCTAGTTTTCCATCACTGAGCAGGTGTGTGTCTCTTTCCTCAAAGAAATGCTGAATTTCTTTGCTGTGGTAATATGTTCTAATTATAATGGAAGGGGTAATTTTACTGCACATCATGACTGGCACCTCACATAAATTTAGAACTTTCTTTGTTTTTCTCAGAAAGGATGAAGTGATTACATTACAGCCTTTTGTGACGCTGTCATTCTTCCAGCGCGGCGGTGTCTCCCTCATTGGTAACCAAGCAGCCTCTGCTTTGTCATGCCAGAGGACAGCGAAATTATATTGACATCTTTCTTCTGCTATGTTAATATATTCAGAATGACTGCGGTGTTATGGTATTGTGTGAAAACACCACTCCTCCCTTCCCCGTCCTCTCAGCTTCTCCTCATTGCTTCCCATTATATTTCCTCATCTGCAAAGGCAAATGAAACCAAACGATGTCTGCTGTGTTCTTGGTGCCAAATTCATTTCCAATATGGATGGGGCTCACAGTGGGATTATGTCATGATTGCCCAAAACAATCAAACCCAGGCCCTGGGAATGCAGACTGAAGTGGTGCTGCACTGAGCATCATCATCATCATAACCTTGAAAGACCTTCACTGGCAGAGAGAAGAGAGTCAAGAGGGCCTCTGAGCCACAGCTGTGCAGATAGCACCCCCTGTTGATTGGCTTGGGGAAAACAAAGAATAACAGCAAAGCAAACGTGGATGGCTGTGCACTTACAAATGCTTATGAAGATGAAAGCAATTACATTATAGATCCTCTACTCCCAGGGGGCACAAACATGTCTGTGCTTTGACTTCCTAAAAGGAGGCGGAAAAGAAAAACCTATATTGGCAAAGTGGTGCTGATGTATTTCCTTGGCAGACTAAATAATTCTGCTGGTTTCCATTAGAGTCTCCTCCTAGACTCAGTTTTAAGAATAGCGGATGTCCATGTGAGTGACCATAAGATAACCACCACAAAGACTCATCATTGTCAGTGGAAAAAATGAATGGAATGGATGAGCTCAATTTACTTTTTTGACCATGCAAATAAAACATTTAAAAATGGCAAAATTAAACAACATGCACATATTACAAGCTAGTGCACTTTCCTTAATCTCATTGTATAGGTGTTGCCTCTATGAGGTCTACCCTGTGCAAGCACCTAAATAATAGGCTACTTTTGTATATATAGTAATATTGCCTCTAATTTCTTGAGGCGTTTTCAGAGCTAAGATCTGCTGGAAGATATGTTCAGATTTAATTATTTAAAATATGGTAATTCAGATGGTTCAGATGTCTGAACTTGAACCTAAACCACGCCAAAATAATATCCCATCTCCACGAAGTGATCGTCAACTGAGACTTTTATTTTGAAGACCCCCGGGTCCTCCCATTACTTCCGTGTTTGAGTCTGTCCTGCGCGTTGCTTTTGCTGCAGACTCAAGAGTGTCTTCTGCCTGCTATTATAAGATAAATAGTCATGTCTCTGGAGGTGGAATCCGCAGAGTAAGTAGTCCAGTTAAGTACTCGTAATGCAGGGTACATTTTATAATCAACTGCCTTCATATAACTCCGCTTTTGATCACATTTTCTGTCAATGAGGCCTGCCTCATCCTCTGCTGGCGTTAGCGTCCCAAGCTAAGATAAGCTAAGCTAAGCTAATTTACACTTATCCCCGTGTAGATGTTGTTTGCTCCTTTTTTGTAGCGAAGTGAAAGTAATTCAGTTCGAAGTGTCGCTGTGTTATTTAAAGTATTAATGTATCCGTCTTTTGCGTTTTCAGTTCTACACTGTGGACTAAACAGGACTGAAAGATAGGAAAGTTAGAAGAAGTTAGCATTAGCTAAGGCTGCACTGCCAGTTGCTACAGAGACTGCTCTGACCGGGGAAGTACATTAATCAAACGAGCAAATTATTAGTCACATAATTTGTTGTCATACTAAATGTGTCTCATGTAAAGTCAGTATCCCATTTTTTTTTCCTGCACTGCACCTAAGTAGAGCTTAACGTACAACATACATAAGTTATTTCAATAGGCCAGATATCTCAACTGAAATGTTCCAGTTTTAAAATGTTTGTTGGCATATATTCTCTCTGATGTGAAACTTTTTATGTAGCATTTCTGTACTGTCTGCAGTTTCTTGTTACTGAGATTGACATGCAGCACTGTGCATAAGTTTTAGGCACTAAAATTAAAGTGATGGTTTTTAAAATCAGTATTTGGGGTCACCACGTTTTGCCTTTAAAACATCACCAGACCTGTCTCAGTGTCTACTCTCTCTTCATGTGATCCCAGACTGACTCCATGATATTGAGATCAGAGCTCTGTGGGGGCCAGGCCGTCTATTGCAGGACTCCTTGTTCTTATTGTCTCTGAAGATATTTCCTTATAACTATGGCTATATGTTTTGAGTCGCTGTCCTGTTGCAGAATGAATTAAAATGTTCATAATCACTTTCTTCAGTTCAGAGGTGGCAAGAGGAAAACAGATGTCCAAAAAATGTATTGGTTGTTGTTTTGTTACTATTGATAAATGATCTACTGACTTGACTTGAACTATGACTCATTAGTTAAATTGCTTCAGCTGAGGTATCCTGCTGTCCTGCAATATTAGCTAATCCAAGTGATTTACATGAGTTTTATTTTCCACAGCGTGATCCGTCTGATTATGCAGTACTTAAAAGAAAACAATCTGCACCGGACTCTAGCCACCCTGCAGGAGGAGACCACAGTGTCTCTGAATACTGTGGACAGTATAGAGAGCTTTGTGGCTGACATAAACAGTGGCCACTGGGATACTGTCCTGCAAGCCATCCAGTCCCTCAAGCTGCCAGATAAGACCCTGATAGACCTCTATGAACAGGTGAGGTTTGGATAAATTTTGGTCTACAGCAAATCTTCTTGTCAACATATGCTTATTATGCCCATGCTGGATTTTGGTATGCTCCTATATTACCAGTGCATTCATTAGTTGTTTGAGGAAACATCTTTTATTTTCTACCTAGTCCATCATTTCTTGCACCTCATAAACTGAATTCACCAGGTGTTTGATATGTTAATATTTCAGTATTCCTTGGTCATTGCACTCACTAGATTTGTCTTTGTGTCGTATTGTTAGTTGACGCATGATTGTTGTCTCATTTCATTCTGTAAAGAAATCTGTAATCTCTGTTCTGAAGTCTTAGAATTTTTATTCATTTGGGTTTCCACTCGAAGAGGCATTTTGTTTAATTTACTGTTCTTGCTAATCCTTTCTCAGTGCAAATGTTTTAGTTTGTTATCATAGATATAAGAAGTCCCAGTATTTGTTCCGCTGTTGTCAACAGTGATCTGTCAGCAGATCTTCGAATTAAAACAACTTGGTAGATTATGACTGATGTCTCATTTCCTCAGAATCAAAAGTGTCTGTGTTGTTTCCTGACCAGGTTGTGTTGGAATTGATTGAGCTGAGAGAGCTGGGTGCAGCTCGTTCACTTCTCAGACAGACCGACCCCATGATCATGCTTAAACAAACTCAACCTGAGAGATACATCCACCTGGAGAACCTGCTGGCTCGCTCCTACTTTGATCCCAGAGAGGTGAGTCCAAACAAACCTTGCAACAAGATGCATTCTTTGTTCATCCATGTTGGATCATTTTAGGATTAGTAGGTCGAACCGGTCATTTTACTGTTGGCTCCTAAATACCAAACACCCTGCACATTGGTTCAATTACAGTTGTTCTATAAAGAGAACATTTGAAAATTTGCATTTGTCTGGAGTGGAGTTTTTGATGTTTGTGTTTCTTGTTATCCAGGCGTACCCAGACGGCAGCAGTAAGGAGAAGCGGCGAGTGGCCATCGCCCAGGCCCTGGCAGGGGAGGTCAGTGTGGTGCCACCCTCTCGTCTCATGGCTCTGCTGGGACAGGTAAGCGCTCTAGAAACCTGCAGGTGTGATGAGTGTCATTCCTCAAGAAGAGCCTCACCATGAAATAACTATTCCGCATCTTAAGTCTGACATATTCACAAGATATTTGTGTAGTCGTGCCTCTTGATTAATATTCCTCATACATACCAGTTATGCCACAATCAAAGTAAAGTGCTAATGATGATTTTGTCCACTTCTACTTTCTCCTCCTTCAGTCACTGAAGTGGCAGCAGCATCAGGGACTCCTGCCTCCTGGTATGACCATTGACTTATTCAGGGGTAAAGCTGCCGTCAAAGATGTGGAGGAGGAGCGCTTCCCCACCCAGCTCAGCAGACACATCAAGGTACCAACACTGTCCCAAAGTATGGATGTTAGAGAGTAATATTAACGGGTTGCTTCACCGATTCAAACTATGCATTTAGCCAAGCATGTTGTTGTTTTAATTTCACAATTCAGTAAGTTATGTTCAGTTTCATGCCTCAAACATGTTGTGATGTGTTTTTCTCCCCTCCACAGTTTGGACAGAAATCTCATGTGGAGTGTTCCCGATTCTCCCCTGATGGTCAGTACCTGGTCACCGGCTCCGTGGACGGCTTCATTGAGGTCTGGAACTTCACCACCGGCAAAATCAGAAAGGTAGGTGATGCACAAGAAAGACACATAAAACAGATTTACTGTCTGGTTAAATACGATGCTACATGTACACATTTCTGCGTCACTGAAATAACTATGTACCGTGGCCTACAGGATCTAAAGTACCAGGCTCAGGATAACTTCATGATGATGGACGATGCAGTTTTGTGTATGTGCTTCAGTCGGGACACAGAGATGTTGGCCACTGGAGCACAAGACGGAAAGATCAAGGTAGGAGAGAAACTTTAGTTTTCTTATTGCTCTTAGGTGCTTTATTTTCTTACACCCTGAAATTATCTTGATGAAAAAGTATTTTACCATTTTGTGTTGCACCAAATTTCAGTGTATTATTTGGCATCAATTTTATTTTAGTATTGAACATTAAAACAAGGAAGTAGAAATTTAGACTGCTGAGAGGATTCACCTACTTGGTGGATGCTAATATCAGCAAGAAAAAAGCAGTTAAAACGCCATTAAAACATTATTTTTGTCTGTGTGTGTTTAGGTGTGGAAGATCCAGAGTGGTCAGTGTCTGAGGAGATTTGAACGTGCTCACAGTAAAGGAGTAACATGTGTCAGCTTCTGTAAAGACAGCAGCCAGCTCCTCAGTGCCTCCTTCGACCAGACAATTAGGTAAGTACCTTCAACCTTCTTGGTTCCTCCAATCTTTATGTAAGTCAGCTGTAGAAGTATCTATTATGTCGTTTAGTTGATGGGGCTGTTGTGCTCTTAACTGAGCAACTTTTATGGGTAATGCTTGTTATGTTAATCCTGTGTGTATTGCGTAAGAATCCACGGACTGAAGTCAGGTAAAACTCTGAAGGAGTTCCGCGGTCACTCCTCATTCGTCAACGAGGCCACTTTCACTCCAGATGGACACCACATCATCAGCGCTTCCTCCGACGGTACAGTGAAGGTAAGAGAAGCAGCTTTTGAATGAAATTTCCATGTTCTAACAGCATCGTGTGTGTGCTTCATAATGACCCATGTCTTTTCTGCTTCAGGTGTGGAACATGAAGACCACCGAGTGCACAAACACCTTCAAACCTCTGGGCACGTCGGCAGGCACAGACATCACCGTCAACAACGTCGCCCTGCTGCCCAAGAACCCAGAGCACTTTGTAGTGTGTAACCGCTCCAACACGGTGGTCATCATGAACATGCAGGGACAGGTCAGTTCAAATCACCACCACAATAAACATCACAACACTTCATTCATGCAACTACATACATTATTTAAACAAGAGTTTAAATTGTTATGTGGAAAGGAAGTTTTTTTTCTGTGTTTTCTACCTTTTTTTTCATGTCATGAACTTTTGGTTGTATGTGTAATTTAGCTGTCTTTCCGATACATTTGTTTTGATAGTATAATGCAGTTTTTATTGAAGTCACAGACTTCCCTTTTTAAGTACGTGAATTATGATTGTTTGCTTGAAACACCTTCGCTTGTGCCATATAGAAATTAAAAGCTGTTTTGAGCTTATAAGTTGAATATTCTCCCTGAAATCCTGTACAGTAAACACCAAACTATTGTAATTACCAAAAGTGTTTTCATCATGTAACCGGGGTAATAAAACTGCCCTCTCACATTTTTGCTTTGTGTGTGTGTAAATGTGTCTCCCTGTGCAGATTGTGAGGAGTTTCAGCTCCGGTAAGAGGGAAGGCGGTGACTTTGTGTGCTGCACACTGTCACCACGCGGCGAGTGGATCTACTGCGTGGGTGAAGACTTTGTGCTCTACTGCTTCAGTACAGTCACAGGCAAACTGGAGAGAACGCTGACGGTACGTTACTGTGCCCAGGAGCGTAGATCAAAGTGTGCAGGAGTGTGGCAGCTCATTCGCTCCTCTGCTACAGATAGTTCTGCCTGTGAAGTTTAGATCCAAGTGTTGAAGGTGGAATGTAGAGCTGCTTTATAACTTATTAATCAACAAAGAGAGAAACGACAAGCTTTTCATAATAATATTGATAATAGACGAGACAAAGCTGCACGTTTTTAATGTATAGAATGTAATATAACAATTTTTTCCTGTATTTTGACCTAATTGTCTCTCAACTTCTATAAATACTTAATAACAGTTACCAACAGTGTTAAAGTCTATGTTTTTGCACTATATTTGGAAAAAAGGTTTACATGTTAATACATTGTTAATTCACATTTTATCAGGTTTTGTGATTTGTGTGTGTATTAAAACCTGCGTATTAAAACTTGTTTATTTGAACAATTAGAATAGCTAGACATGCAGTGTTTTGAGTAAAGGTAGTTTATACAAGAATTTAATATTAACATATAAATTGTTTTGTTTTCATGCAGCAGTAATTTCAGCACAGTTTAATTTTTATTGCACTGGTTTGGTTTAATCCTCACAAGTCTTGTGGTTTACTGCTTACACCTTGTGCTAGAACACATTACAGCTGGTAACTTCATTCACTGTTAAATACAATACTTTAGAGCTCAGATCAGCCTTTTACTAACTTACCAACAGCTGTATAACAAGCTTTTTCTTATATTGAGCTTAACCTACACACCATCCTTCATTTTAAACCACAGTATCGTGCTCACATCTCACTCCTGCCCCCTTCCAGGTCCACGAGAAGGACGTGATCGGCATCGCCCACCACCCCCACCAGAACCTCATCGGCACCTACAGTGAGGACGGCCTGCTGAAGCTCTGGAAGCCTTGAGTTTTGAGCCCAAACTGAGACTGAACGTTCTCACTCAGCAGCTGCTCTCCTCACTCTGGACACTGCTCTGCCCTTTGTGTTTTGTTTGTGTCATTTTGCAGACTCCTAGGTCCACATTGACTCAAAGGTTTGGATGTACATGTTGACGATCTCTGTTGCAGTGTCAGTTTTACACATTTAGCTGCATGTTTCCATTTGAAATTGGTAGTGTGTGTAATGAATAAAAAAGCAGACTGTACAGGTGTTTTAGGATGTTTTTTGTATTATTGAAAACATGCAGCTGAATGTTGACACTTTATGGTGTTAAGAGTTTTCACAGCAGAGCCTTATTTACCTCAACCCATGAGAGTAAAAGTTCATTTTTAGATTAATGGTCACTTCTTAAAATATAATACGAAAGTTTTTTGTTTTTTTTATCGGAAATGTGTCGTTCAATTTCTAAAATATTTCATTTTCAGTCCTTCAGTGCTTAACTTTTACACAGCTTATGAATTTGTAAGAGTGGGTATCATGTTATTCAAGTGGGGGATGTGAAGCAGACACACTTGATCATTGCAAATACTCTTTAACTGTACTCAAGAAAGGTGCCTATATATTTGTCCAGATAGTGGAAAAAAAAAGCCCATTACAGTGATTATTACACATTTTCAGTTGCTTTTCAGATAGATAAGGTTCTGCTGTTCAACACCTCACTGACATTTTTCAGAGCCCTCCTACATCAGACACAGGGCAGTTGTCAGATGTTTGGGGTGAGGAGTGTAGATACTAGACTTATTTCTTGTTTTTGAAAATTCCATTTTTTGTAAATATATTTTTTAATAGCATTTTTTTTTTTTTTTTTCAAAAAGACCTGGTTAAATAGTGTGTAGTTGTGTGTCGGTGTGTCTTTGTTTAAGTTTGTGAAGGTTCTCACTGCAAAAAATATATTGTTTCCCTGAGTTATTCCGTTCAAACATGGATGATCTTATTGTCATAAACATCTGTTTTGCCAGCAGAGATCTCAGTGTGAATTCCAGAATACAAAATAATACATTTCAGTTTTATAAGTCCTCCTGTTGTCCACGTGGAATACATGTCAGAGACTCTGTATTTATAAATCTGTTTTTTTTTTTCATCCCCAAGACATCTTTCGTTTTCTTGTTCCTGAAGCCAATTTTGGAAACTTCTCAACTCTTAAGTGCATGAATTACCAATAATTCATACAAATCAAAGGATCTATAAACTTATTGGATCAACAAATATCCCATGTAACACCTTTTGTCTGTGCCATTAAAGCTGTTTGACCAGATAAGCATCTTAAAGTCTTGTTGGCGGAGAAGCAGAATATTGGTAAAATTTTAAATTAATCTGATCATGTAAGAAATTCTGAACTTTTTAATGTTTAAAGAAATAAGGACACCAGATGTCACTGTGCAACCATCACTGAATGTCTTTGTAAGAGTTTCAAGAAGATCTATGTATCTGTCCAGATCTTCCAGCCTTGCATGCTGCCTTTGTGTAACAGAAAGAGGTTTGCAAACTCCTCGATGAAGAGGAGGGCTGACTGAGTTTGATCCCTGGGTAAACCCTGTTCAGGGTCTGTTGGTGCAGCAACTGTGCAGAGAGGCGAGTCAAGTCAACCAGAGAGAGAAATCCCAGGGCTTTCATTACTCCTTCAAAATAAAAGCATGCATTTGTCACTTTCACCTGGGATATTTTAGAGTTTGAAAGTGTTAGTTACTCAATTTATATCTCTGCATTGGTTGTCACTGACATTTTCAAACTTGGTCTTTTGAAGTAGACAGAACATCTAATTAGAAAAAAAATAAGACAAAAAATAACAAAAATAAGCTATTTTAAGGTTAATATGTTCAATTTTAAACTTAAATCTGCCTGGATGGTTAACCTCAGATGTTTCCCTGAGGGCTGGTCTTTGTGACTAACATTGCAAGCGCTAAGTTTTGAAATTGAAAGTTGTCACTAATGTTCTTTGATGGCCAGCATGCCTTACATATGGATTTCTATATTGTTCTTTGTGGGTGAAAACAAATTTTTTACTTGATTTGCAACTGTTTATTTTCATCATTGAATAATCTGATTATTATCTTGAGCAATTGTTTTGTCTGTAAAATATCAGAAAGTAGTAATAAATGCCCATTATAATTCCCCAGTTTAGAAGGTGACATTTTCAGATTCCTTGATTTAATCCAATCATCTCTCTAAAACCTTAATATAATCAGTTTTTATCAAATGTGACAAAGAAAAGCAACAAATCTTCACATTTGAGAAGAAGCTGTAACCAGAGAAGTTTTAATGACTCAAGTGATTAATCTCTTATCAGAACATTTGCTGATTAATAATCAGTTTTTCTGTGTGTATTTTCAGCTGCTGCTGCTCACAGACAAGCCTGTCAACCCAGCTTTTATTTTTGTAGACCTGTGATGGGAAGTTGTTTTTGCATGGCGGGCGCCTTGACAGCGCAGGTCAGTGAGGTTGAATGAGTGTTTAGTGTTAGTGGTGTTTCTGCAGGGAAGAGTTACTATGGCAGGAGTTCTGCACCTCACTCTGCTTTTGTTTCTGCATTATGGATCATTTGCAGTCGTTTCAAGCCGACCTGCTGATGACGACACGACTGCAGTGGCGTCCACTGATGCAGCTTTTACTACTTTTACTACAACTGTGAGCCTTTCTTCTGCAGGAAAAACTGCAAACACCACTGATGTTCCCACCAGAGGATTCACAACCAGTTATAATGAGAAAACAACTAAACCTCCCACAACCAGCACAACTACTGAAGGCACTGGTAAAACAGCAGAGAGAGCAGCTCTCAGAAAAGAAGCTGAAGAAGAAGAAGAAGAAGAAGGTCCTCTGGAGTTAGGTGAGTGGATATCAAACTTATATTTTTATTATTTATCATTTGTATTCTACATTTTGGATTTTTATTTTTTTTTGATTCATCTGTAATTGAAAAAAAACTTCTGTGGGCAGTTAATGACAGTTAATGATCGGTTAAACATTCATTTAACATTCCCTTAAGGATTTATAGTTTTCAATGTGGAATTTGCTGCATTACTCCTCATGGAAACATTTTCAGTGGTGCAGTTGGCCTAATCTGCATCAATACTATTTTTTTTTCAACTTAACTAATTGTTTGTTGGTTTCATGGGTCTCTTTGCTTTTTCCCATAAAGAAAAAAACAATATTAATTTGAAGAGAAAATGTGTTGTTTCATTTTTAAGTTAGATGTAACAAACTATCTACAAACTCAGGGGAGGTTGGGTTCTGCAAAGAAATAGTCCTCCTGAGGCTGTCAATGACCCCTCAAAAATTGCCATCATGGTCTATGTCCTGTTGATGAATTAGTCGCTGATGAAGCCTCTGGGTTTCTAGACAAACTACCCCTCAGTGTTCCTCAAAGCCTCCGAGATTCTAGTGTTAAAAGAGCTCTGTTGGTCTTTGCATATCTGCGGTCAGAGAGTCAGTGTCCGAGGGTTGGGGGAGGATGTTCTACATTTCAGCCATGTGTTTTCTACTGATGAAAACCAGATGCTGAAAACCAGTGTGATGCCTTAGACCAAAAAAAAAAAAAAAGACCCCTCGCGCTCTTTAAAAGCAGTTGTGTGTAATGTTGTTCATGCAGCCATTAGTTCAACTGTATACTCACTGTGGCTGCAGCCAAATGACTTAAATGTAAATAGATGCAAACACATATAGCCAAAAAAACTCCAGCACAGCAGTATTTACATGAATGCAGACTCAGATTTTAAAGTTGGTTTGTGCTGTTTGCTGTAGCTCTAAACTGAATCCTCTGGTGGTTTTAGATGGAGCAACAACTTTCCAACCAACGCTAAAGAATAGTTTCCTCCAAAAAAAAAGACACTTATCTGAAGTCAACTTGTACATGCATGTTTCCTACTGCATAAAATGGTTTGCCTTTTTATAGCAAGGAGGTCCACCAGGAGCGTTAACGTAGGGAAGAAGCCCAAAACGGTCGTGGCGAAACCCAAAGTCATCAGCAAGGAGCCAAAGGTTGTTAAGAAAACCAAAGCACAGGTCAAAAAAAGCAAAAGCCAATCAGTGGCTGGCACGGAAACAGTCCCACGTATGTATTGGGATTAGCCCTAAAGTATACAGTATGTGAATCAGACGAGGGTCAGATATTAGTAGCAAATAGTTTTTAGTGCTTTCACCACTTTGGAATAAAAGTGGGGTTTACTGCAACGGGACAATTCAAGTGTCCTCAGGGAATGTGAAGCTCGCTGAGACACTGAATTACCGGTTAAGTGCAAACTGACTCAGGAAAGCAACAGACACATTATAAAACTATTTGCTAATCTAAGTTCAGACCCGGATCTGATTCATGCTGCACCCATGCTGAGGCAGCACATACTGTATATCTAAACTTGTAGAGGACATTAATCCAATCTGAAGCGCTTCTCTCCAGCCAGTCTCTCTCTCTCTCTCTCTCTCTCTCTCTCTCTCTCTCTCTCTCTTTCTAAAGCTCACTCTCTCACTCACACACACAAACTTGAACCACTAAAGTTTTTCAGTTTGGTTTGCATGTCTCAGTTTCAGCCTTCACAGAGCTGCAGTTGGTCTACCAGCTGTTTTGTCTATAAGTTCTTGCAGATGTATGTGTGTACATCTTTGTGTTTTCACGCTCTTGTGTATTCATGTATATCTGTGTGTGTGCTGCACAGGAACTGAGCCCACTGTGGAAGTGTGTGTGTGTGTACATAGAGCTAGAGTGTCTGTATATACAGTATAATGTGTGTATGTAGAGGGAAAGGTCGAGGCAGAGATTAGCTCGTGGAGGTCGGCTGGAAATAAATGCTTCGTAAGCAACTTGTCATGTCATGTGAAATCAGAGCTGATCCTCATTAAAAATCCATTCAGGCCTGTCAGACAGAGCCGGAGTGAGATTAGCTGTCAGTGATGAGGCCAGAAAAGCTGGAAAAGTAACCGCAAGTGTGAAAGTACGAACTGATAATAACACACCTTCTACTTGGCTTCGTGAAGAGAGTCAATTATTGGTGGCCATGGCTCTGTCCACTACATGGAGTGTGAAGTGTTGCAAGCAATTCACATTACGATGAGCTTTAATCAGACAAATTGGTTCAGCTCTTGATATCAAGTAGTAACCTGAAGAGGTTTGAACTGCCAACAAATTAAAGAGATTGTCGTCTCAGCTGCAGCTTCCCTCCATGGTTTGTTTTTTTTAAAATAATCACAACCTCTGCTTCAGTCTCATTTGTGTAATTGTCTCAACAACTTGTCAACAGTTTTTACTAATTTTGGTGGACAGTGTGGTTTGAGCCAATAGCAGGTGATCATTTTTTGTTATAAATTTATAAAACACTTTCTGTTCTTAATCTGTTAGTGCGGCCCCCAGTTTTGTCAGTGTGTTTGGATGAGCCCAAACTAATGAAAAAAAACAAAAAAACAACTTGCGACACTGACTGAACTTTCTTTATTTCACAAATGCACTTAATCAACTGTTGAAAGCCGAAACACGTTGGAAAGGAAATGGAGAGCGGCTCTGGGAAACAAATTAAATAGCAGAGTTAGATAGTGAGCATAGGTTGGAGTATGAGTCATGGTGCTTGTTCATTTAAACTTCATAGGAAAAGACACGGTTTTCAGACTAAGTCAAAGAACAATAGTGAGATGAAATAATGCTCCACTCCCCACAAAACAACATTTCTGTTTGCATTTCAGCACCACCGAGTACTTAGAGGTTTTACCCTCAAACCAACCGACAATCTGGATTCAGTTTTTCACCCAGTGGAGTTTATTTACCCACATAATCAGCTGGGCTGTTGGGCTGCTTTAATGTATTTATCTCCTGGGCATCATTGTCAGTTCCCCAAATCTGTCTGGCTCAGACAGAAATTTGTGGTTTGGCAGGAGTCCAGTGGCCGACGGCAACAAAGAGACATCACTTTTTAAAGCTGAGCAACATCTTGAGTCACAAGCAGCTCAACACAGATCCAGAAGGGCTACAAGGCAAAAAGGGGGAAAGGGTGTTTAAAAGAAATGCCACCTACATTTAAGCAGCTTCTATACCTCAGCCTGACACTTTTTTAGCAGCCAGTGAAGCTTCCTGGCAGGAAGAGGCCGTTTGAACCGAGCTGAACCCTCCGGACAATGAGAGTCTGTCTGAGGCTCTAATACAGCAGCAGAGGCTGTGGATAGGTTTAAAGAAACGTCACCAGCTACAAGAGAGCGCCGCTTTTCTCTGTTTCCTGCCCTCCTCTTCACTTCTTTTCACTTCTCTTGGCTTGATTTATAAATATATCAGAAATCTGAAAGCAAAAAACAAACAGTTTTTGATGATGGCAGTGGTGGGGCAGAGCGCTGTCAGCTGATTTGAGATCAGCGAATGATTCACATCATTTTCATAATCATTAAACCATTCAGTGACCCTTTGTGACCTCTATAGAGACATCTGCATTTATTATGTTTCTACACTCAGTTTGTTTCACTTCAGTCCGTCTGTAATTTGTCACATTGATAGAATGTGATAAATCCCTTTGATGTTATATATTCCATATGCAATATATAACATTCAATTCTTAAAGACACAAACTGACAAACCATTTCCCCCTTTTCTCTTACATACTTTTGAGAATTGATCTTGTGATGTCTTAACTCTCAGCTACTCACTCATAATGTCAAGTGTGTGTACATACTGTCTGTACAGTATTATATATGTACATATAAGTGTGTGTGTTTGTATAGTTACAGTACATGTGGTATGCAAACCTGCACAGAGTTCACTGCAGTACAGAGCAGCAAAGTGTGTGGAAATGAAACTGGTCCCATTAACAATAAACAGAGAGACACAGCTCTTCCAGGTTAATGTTGGTTCTAATTAGTTTAACTTGCTCTCTTAATTTTCCCCTCATCGGTTTTGTATGTCGAATGGCACCAAACACTTTCAGTGGCTCTTGCAGCCAGAGGCGCAACAAAAGCTGTAATCAGCAACAAAACGCTGAACCAAAGTTGAGAAATTCATCCAGGATTGAGCAAAAATTAAAAAGTGGAAACAGGAAGCATTCAACCAAGTCTACAGAGCTTAAAGTTTTAATTCACACCACCATTGAAGTGCCACAGTGCTCTCTGGAAGATGTTTTACAAAGTCTCACAACTTTCTTGTTACTTTTAAAAACATTGTGCCGAGGATTGAATGGATTCAATCTAAAAGCCGATGCTCAGCCAATTATCGACCGTCAATCAGATTTCAGCTCCCGCTTACTTTGCTCCTCTATTGTCATTGAACAATAATATTGAAATGGTGACTAAATGTCTGTCGATGGTGTCAGAATGTCCTCCACTGGGTCTGGAGTCGCTGAAGGTCAAAGACAATCAGCTGAAAGCGTCGTCCTACAAACGCAGAGGCCTGGGCCCTCACCGCGGCCGCCTCAACATCCAGGTAACCACAGAGACCATCAGCTGTCCAAAACTTCATCTAGTACAGCACATGCTATCTACAGAGCAGCACTGTCACTGTGGATTGTGTGTGTGTGTGTGTGTGTGTGTGTGTGTGTGTGTGTGTGTGTGTGTGTGTGTGTGTGTGTGTGTGTGTGTGTGTGTGTGTGTGTGTGTGTGTGTGTTACAGTCTGGGATAGAGGACGGAGACATCTACGACGGAGCCTGGTGTGCTCAGTACAGAGACAAGAACCAGTGGCTGGAGGTCGACGCTCAGCAACAGACTCGCTTCACCGGGGTCATCCTGCAGGGTCGCAGCTCCATCTGGAGGTCAGTGCTGAGGGTCAAAGGTTTTACAGCACCAGGGAGAGTGATGGGAAATGTAGTTTTGTAGAGCAAAATGAATATATGTTTTCCTCCCATTTTAAATCTTAAACACTCAAAGTAAAGGCTTCTGTTACTGCCCTGCTCATGTGATGCAGATGTAAACGCTCCTCTACAAGCTGCTCCTGTGTATCACATGTAATATAATATTCACTATAGAACTACATGTGTCTTGCTCACGCACAGTTGGAACGTGGTTCACACCTACAAGGTGCAGTTCAGTAACGACTCCCTGGTCTGGAAGCCATGTATGAACGGGACTGAAGAGGCTGTGAGTAAACATATTGTTCTTTTCCATCTTTCAAACTGAATTCTTATCTCTCTCTTCCTTTGTACATTTCACTCTTCAAGCTGCTCTGGTATTCAAACCAGCGACCTTGACGAGGAATTTGTTATAATGGCGGTAACAGCCAGTGGGAGAATTACACTGTAATGATTTTCCTTCTGTCAATATCTTAGCTACCAAAAAATATTACAACTTATGCATGAAGGGATTTACTTACAAATGTCAGTCAGAACATGTTAACATTTTATTTTGGTTTGGCTGGTAAATTGTTCACTTGGTTCCAGAGGCAGCTGTTGCCAGGTGTTTTCAAGCCGAATTAAAACAAGTAGCATCTCTGAAGCAAAAATGTGCAGATACCAGCTTCTCAAGTGTGAACATTTACTAGTTTTCCAGTTTTTGAATTTCGGCTGTTGGTCAGACAAAAAAAAAAAAAAATACTGAACAATAAATTGATTATTAAAGAAATTGATCATCAGACCTGTTGATAATATTAGTGATTGCTAAGTGCAGCCTCAATATAAACTAAAACAATAAGGTCTTAAAACCAGATTTCGACACAGGGATCCTCCACAACACCAGGGCCACATGGACTCTGGGAACTCATGCTTTTTCATTTGGACTATTTTCTGACAAGGTAAAAGTTGTCTGTTGTCTGCCTTACAGAGCAGTGAACTATGATGAACTAACTATAGGTTAACATTTAAACATTCTATATTTTCCTCTAAATGTATTAAGAAACAACAAATCTCTTTCTAGGAAATATACTAAGGACCAGCATCTACATATCGGCAAGTTACTGGGAAAATTTCCAGGAAAGTAGAATTAGACGAAGCATTAGTGAGGGATGGTATAAACTCTGGACCCTAACTGAACAAGTTGCTGAGTTGGTACTTGGAACAATGTTTTTATTGAGTTTTCATTATACAGGCATTGTTGAAACTCGTGCAGCAGATGCTAAATGTCAGTTTATGGAAGAAAGTAAGAAAGGGAAAGTCATCACAGTGTAATTCTCCCACAAGCTGTTACCACCATTCCAACAGAGGCCTTTAAAGGAAAGTTTGGTAAATGAGGGACGTGCTGCAGTGTTGAGGGACTCCTTTAGTTTAATAATGCAACATGCTGTTTCATTATCTTCCACAGTGACAGGATTGTATGATACACGTGGTTATTCAGGATGATAAAACAGGTTTGGAAGTTGTTCAGCTTTGGTTGGGTTTGTTTATTTCACCGGCCTTTCTGGCATGTGTGCCACAGCTTTTTTCAATTTAATTTTTCTGTTCCATTTTTCCACCTGTCCCATCACCACACTGTAACTCTTGTGGTGTCAGTTTTTATAGAAGCAAATGAGTACAAGAAAAAAAAGCTTTTGTTGTGTTTTGTCAAGCATAATTCAGGTTGTCAAAAGAACAGAAAAGAAGTAATAAAATTCTCCATCTCAGACAGAAACGTTAACGAGAGAATAAAAGCTGACAAGCATGCACAAGTGGAAGTTAACATTCACGATTTGCAGTAACGCACCAGTAAGCATGGAGTCCTGTTTTTGAGACTCTTAATCAAATGTATTTTCTCAGGAAGGTTGCACGTGGGTAGATAGTGCACTTGGAATTTTGAAAATAAAGTTTAATGCAATTTTGTTTTCGTTACATGGTGTCTGTGAATGTTCTCATTCGTCCAGGTCATACATGGTTACATGGTGGAAATAAAAAGAGGGATAGCTTTGTAACAAAGGTCCATAGCTATAGATTCAAACTTTATGGTCTCTTGTCTTTATTTTGAACCACTTGTCCATTAGATTTGCTCATATTTCTCCCTGCGTTAAAGGTATTTGAAGGGAACCAGGATACAGAGACGCCTGTCCTCGCCCTTTTCAACACTTCCACAGTGGCCCGTTACATTCGGATCAACCCGCAGACCTGGTACCAGAATGGGACGCTGGGGGACATCTGCCTGAGAGCCGAGGTGTTGGGCTGCACAGTCCCAGGTACGGGCTGTCAACCGCTGGAAACAGCTGTTATGTATTTGTATTTACACCACGTTTAACACACAACTTTCTCCTTTTTAAAGATCCAAATAATATCTACCCATGGCAGACAGAGCCGGCAGAGTCCAGAGACAAACTGGACTTCAGACACCACAACTACAAGGAGATGAGAAAGGTAGGACAGAGTATGACAATGATTTTTTATGGTCAGTCGTGATGATCACAACATCTTAATCGTATTAAAGAAGAAGATAATGTTCTTTTCAACTAAAATTTAACACAACCAAAAAGACGAGGTTATATTTTTGTTTATTTTAAAGAAGCTCTGTTTTCAGATATAAATAAAACTCCAGCACCAGGTTTTAGTTTCTACAGTGACTCTAGAAAGCTCCCACAGTGTGTGTGTGTGTGTGTGTGTGTGTGTGTGTGTGTGGTCCGGTCCTAGTTTTACCAAAAAGCAAATATTATGGGAGGTTTCACTCCATCATGGCAGGGTCCTCAGTGTGCTGCCACTGCCTGCGGTCTGTGTGAAGACACCGTCGTGGATCTGATGGTCAGAAAACAGCCCACAGAAACAAACACACCAATCCACAGTCCACATGTGGAAAGACATTCAGCATTTTGACACAGACTAGACAGATCAGTGTGATTTTACACATCACACTCAACAAACATATAAATCAATCAACTGAACTCTATAAAGTGTCCATGACAATCTCAACCTCTCCTCAGATGTATTATACAGACAGACAGACAGACAGACAGACAGACAGACAGACAGACAGACAGACTGACTGACTGACTGACTGACTGACTGACTGACTGACTGACTGACTGACTGACTGACTGACTGACTGACTGTGGTTCACACATCTCTTTTCTCCAGCTTTTCACTGCAGCTCTAGCAACAACAGGACACTTTGTGTTGGTCTCTGAGCCTGTCTTCTGATTGGCTGACAGTTTCTTTTAATGACACAAGGCAAGGCCAACCAGCTTGGTAAAACTCACCGGTAAATGCAAATGATGATGGTCAATCAGTGCTGAAATTAGCTGGACAAACGGTCAAATTCAGACCAAAATGCTCCAGTATTACAGAAAAAACAAACTTTAGCCTCTGGTCTCTAATGTTATTTAGCATTAAATGCGTTATTGAGCATTTTGATACTTGGCAGTATCTGTATAGCACCTAGACCTGCTTTATAATCAAAAATGGACTTTTTTTCCTCCCAGCTGATGAAGTCGGTGAATGAGGCGTGTCCTGACATCACCCGCATCTACAGCATCGGAAAGAGCTACACGGGTCTGAAGCTCTACGTCATGGAGATCTCTGACAACCCCGGAAAACACGAGCTGGGTGAGACGTGCTGGGAAGACTGATGTGAAAGTAAACACTCAAAATATACCACATCTGGTTTAAAAAGAAAGATCTATTTTCTCTGTCTCACCATGGATTATCTCTAAGAAAAAAAGTTAAAGATCTAATTGATAAAGTTTCACAATTTAAAACAAAGTTTTAAAAAAAAGTTAAAAATTGTCGCTGACCTTTCACTGGTGCCATTCACTCTGTTCATAGGTCAAAGGTTATGAATTAGAAAAGCTGGTGAGATTATTTCTGCCTTTAGAGCAGCTCAACCTTCTTCCTTCACTACAACTGCAGTCCTCCACATGCTGCACTGCTGCCACGCTGCTTCTCCTCCACTGAGAGAAATCATTTCACCTAACGAGGGCCAGATCCTGCTTTGCATTCACAGAGTGATCAGAGGGGTCAGGGGGTCGGGGGGGGGGATATCTACAGTGGCTGCCCCTGTATCCCAAAAACTAAACCAGACAGTCCAGCACTGTGTGAAACGTAAACGTGCTCCTCATTTGCTCTGAGGTGTACAAATGTTTTCTTTGGCCTCCTCAGCTCAGCCCACATGGCAGCAGAGGGGAGAGGCTTTCCCGCCAAAATATATGGCAGTGAAGGCAGCACAGGGGAGCAGAAGAGTGGGAGATCATGCCTGTCCATTCAATCTTTAAAATTTGTGTGTGTAGGTAGGTAGGAAGGTAGGAAGGTAGGAAGGTAGGTAGGTAGGTAGGTAGGTAGGTAGGTAGGTAGGTAGGTAGGTAGGTAGGAAGGTAGGAAGGTAGGAAGGTACCTTGACCTCGACCTTTGACCACCAAATTCTAATAAGTTCATCCTTGAGTCCCAAATGTGATGAAATACAAAAATCACCATAGCCGGCTTTGTTAGGACTTCCTGTCCTATATCAACAAATAACTGGCAGCTTTTACAAAGGAGGGAGAAGATCAGTTTTTCCCTCCGCTCGGTTCAGTCTATGACCTGATTCTTTGTCTTTCTTTCCAGAGAAAAGTGTGGGTTCGGTCTGGTCGATCTCATGTTCCACTGACTGAGCTCTCAGTCTTCTCATGTTATCTTCCATCTCAGTGGTTATAGTAGGAACACACAAACTGGATTCTCCCTCTGCCCCTTCACTTTCCACACATTATGTAACGACTGTCTATGTAGCTTCTTGTAGAAAGTTCGTCTCCATGTTTGTTTTTTATGCTGCTGTCTCAGCTGGGCCACCGGAGAGGTTCAGGCTTATTTGACTTTCTGATTGGTTAAATAAAGAAAATTCCACTTTTTGCTTCTTGGGATAATTTCCTTATAATCTTCCATCAACAAACAGCATCAGTTCGATCCCATCCCTCATAATTTTACGAGATCGAGATTCACTTAATGAACTGACCCAGTCCCAGTGTTAGTCTATGATGACTCCAGACTGTGTTTCCATCATTCATTTCTGGCCACTGCAAAACCACTAAACATGCTCTTACCGAAGCCCACAAGTATTTAAAGGTTACAGTTTTCCCACATAATCTAAAAGACAGACCATAAACAACTGACCAAAACTAAAGCACATTCTTTCATTTAGTTTTGATACACGATGACAAAGGATCAGAACCCTGATGAAGAGTTTCCAGCTCCAGTTATTGAAGTAAAGCTTATCTATATTAGGATCCCATCCTGATAATCAGACTAAATTAACATTTTGTTTCCACTTCATTTATGTGAATTGCTCAAACATGGGCAGTTGATTCCAGGCCCTGGAGCCAGGCTTAGAAGCTCCTTTAATATTGGAAAGGCCTTCAAACCATTTTCCAACTCAAAACTTCAAAATAAACATGAATCGCTCACACCTCATGAATTCAGGCATGCTGATTGTTGTATGCAAACCCGGATCGGCCACCTCTCAGAGCCACAGTGTCAGAAACTCATCTGTGCTCAGTGTGAGTTGAAACTCCTGCTCATAAACAGTTTTGTGGAGGACGTGTGAGATTTCAGAGCCACTTGTGAGTGTAATGTATGTGGCGGAAACAGGAAACGGATCCTTTCATGGCGCTCAGTGAAAGAGGTTGATCTGTGCAAACACAGATACTGTAGGTGAATTAAGTTTTGAGGAAGGGCTCCTCATTCTTGTATGAGCATATGATGTTATCTGGACAGTTTAAGACAGTTTAAGACACAGAACATGAGCAACAATAAAAGTAAAAGCATTCAAATGTCAGATCATACAGCAATTTAGAACCTGCCCCTTTGTTGTGGCGCCCCCTGCAGGAGAACCAGAGTTCAGATACGTCGCAGGGATGCATGGGAACGAGGTGCTGGGCCGGGAGCTTCTGCTCAACCTGATGGAGTACATGTGCCAAGAATACAAACGGGGCGACCAGCGCATTGTCCGCCTCATCAAAGAGACTCGCATCCACCTTCTGCCCTCCATGAACCCTGATGGCTACGAGATGGCCTTTAAAAAGGTGCCCGGAGACACCTTTAGTCAAAGATTGTGTGTTGTAGATGATGATTTGACACCTCTTTACATGTTTAATCCACAGGGCTCAGAGCTGGCGGGTTGGGCCCTGGGTCGTTACAGCTACGAGGGTATAGACATGAACCACAACTTTGCTGACCTCAACTCAGGGATGTGGACGGCCATCGAGCTGGAGACGGACCAGTCCAAACTCATCAACCACTACTTCCCCATCCCCGAGCAGTACACCTCTGAAGACGCCTTTGTAAGTTTAAAGACACACATCACACTTTGAAAAGAAGTAAAATATTAAAATATTAATGTTTGTTACTCTTTTAGTTTGACATTACATCTTACTGCAACATGGAGCAACAGGATTTGTCAAGAAATTGGTCTTAAATGATTAATTTCAGTACTTGTGCTGTTGAAATGAATGCATCAATCATCTCATTATCAATTAAATCCTACAGTAAATAAAAAAATGAACATGTGATTCATGATAAAAACAAAATAAAATGGGAAAAAATACCATTCAGTGTAGTTTATACTGAAGGGAATTAATTCTCATCTCTTTAATACTGATCAGTATTGGAGCACATTTCTTACTGTGTTGTCCCTGAATGACCATTGGAAAAAAAATCGTTTTATCTTTCTTGAATTGAAACTGTAAAGTTCAATAGCAGATACTCATTTATCTAACAACATGGATATAAAACCCTCAAACATGTTTTAGATTTTCAGAAACACCAATTAAAGACACCCTCTATGGCAAAATCCCTTGTCTGGCTAATTTAAAATAAGTAGGACTTTTGGTTGCTATGGTGTTAGTGAAATGTCCGTATAAAAATCTGTTTAAACTGAGTTTATCCTCTGTGACTAAATCTCCACCTCCAACATCAGGTGGCATCAGAGACCCGAGCTGTCATCAACTGGATGCAGAACATCCCATTTGTTCTCAGTGCCAACCTCCACGGTGGAGAGCTGGTGGTCACCTACCCATACGACATGACCCGGGACTGGGCACCTCGCGAGCACACGCCAACCGCTGATGAAAGTTTCTTCCGTTGGTTGGCCACAGCTTACGCCAGCACCAATCAGGTTACTCCTCCTCCTCCTCCTCCTCCTCCTCCTCCTCCTGGTACGTATCGCTCTCAGTTTTAAAAAACGTCTCCTTTACCATGTTGTTGTTTCTCACGTTAACAGGTGATGTCCAACCCAGACCGGCGGCCCTGCCACAACAAGGACTTCCTCAGATATAACAACATCATCAATGGAGCCGACTGGCACAACGTACCAGGAAGTAAGAATGTGTGTGTTTCCTAAAGTTAGTTTAATCTAGTGTGATTCAGCTGAACTCCATAAAGCTTTTAGAGTATTACATCATTTTTATATTTGTGTGTATTGTCAAGTTTATTTTGCTGTGTGACAGAGCCCTCTAACCTCATCTCTTTATTAACCTCATCAAGAACGGATGGGGTAAGAATGAAACCCTCTGACTGCAGCAGATTTAATTTAATTTCTCGTGTATTTTGTCTACCTTGCAGGTATGAATGACTTCAGCTACCTCCACACCAACTGCTTCGAGGTGACGGTGGAGTTGTCCTGTGATAAATTTCCTCATGTCAGCGAACTTCCCATCGAGTGGAACAATAACAGAGAGTCTCTGCTGGTTTACATGGAGCAGGTCCGGCTCCTTTTTCATCATCTTTCTTCACTGAATCTTTTTTTTTTTCTGTGAGCAAAACAGCTGAAGTTTAAATCTCTCTCATTTATTGCTTTTTACCGTGTGTTGCTGTTTCATATCGACAGCCCCAATAAAAATGATGTTTCATTTTCCTTTCTTTGATTTTTTTTTTTTTAGGTTCACCGTGGAATTAAAGGTGTGGTTCGGGACAAAGACACAGAGGCTGGTATAGCTGATGCCATAATAAAAGTTGATGTCATTGATCATCATATCAGATCAGGTAAAGTTTTACATCTCACATCAGATATTAAATTAAGTTTCCTGCTTTCCATGCTCTGTACATAACTAGTGCTTTATATTTTGCTCATCTTAAATAAACTCATAATAGAAGCACTTTACTTTTTATTTGGTCACTCTCTAGTCATTCTGTCATTACTATTTTTTTAAGTGTATCGTTGTAATAATTGGAATTGAGAGCTTCTGCAGTAAGGCCTCTGGATTGTTTGGATGATAAACTGTGCACTGAAGGGCAGAAATATACTGTAATATTCCACCATGACAGTATTTTATTAAATGCATTTATCCACGTATCCTGAGTGTTACTCCATCTCCTGCTGTCTTACTCTGCAGTTGCTGACGGCGACTACTGGCGGCTGCTGAACCCCGGTGAGTACAAAGTGACGGCCAGCGCACAGGGATACTTCCCCTCCTCCCGCACCTGCCAGGTCATGTACGACCACTACCCCACGATCTGCGACTTCCGCCTCACCAAGATGCCCAAACAGAGGCTAAAGGAGATTTTAGCGAAGGGGGGGAAACTCCCCAAGGACCTGCAGCTCAGGCTGCGCCAGCTGCGTCTACGTAAGCTCCGCGTCACCACCAAGGCTATCAACCAGAGGCGTGCTGCTGCTGCTGCTGCCACCAAACGGGTTAGGAGGATGTAATGATGAGGATGATGGGAACAAAGCAGGCCTTGTTCATTTTCACTATGACACAATGTCTTCACTGGAGTCATGTCACTATTTCTTTGTTTGAATGCTGTTATTTATCCACGACAACTGTACAAATACACACCTGATATATAAAGAATTTAATCCTCTGCTGTGGAGCAGCAGAACAATTCACTACTTAAAGACTCGTTTATGGCTGCTGTTGATGCTGTTAAAAGTCACAGCAAACTCCAGAACTGCTGAAGTGTTTGGTTTGGACTTCAAAGTATAAATATGTTTTGATGGCGTGGCAAGAAAACATCAGGGACTACGTTGGGACAAGACCTTTCCTCACGAGAAGGTGAGGCAGATAAGCTGCCAGTAAACACAAGGAGAGACTGTACTGTACAGAAAGTCAGGCGTTCAGTCCTCACAAAAAAAACAAAACTCTTAACCCTACCTTGACTTCAGACTCTCTACCCGGAGGAGGACGCACAGTTGCAGATGAGCAAGAGCGACGGAGGCGGCGAGGACATCAGCTCCATTCAAGCATTCTGTCTTTTCACTTGTTATATTTTCTTTTAGTTTCCGTCATTTTCTGAGTTTTTGTCAAACTTTAACTTTGTAACCACCTCCTCGTCTTTAACAGGTGATTGAACTGATAGAAGTTCAAGATGAAACGGCACAACTCCTTCAAAATAAAAGCGTCATGTCCACAAATCTAATAAGATAAGATCTTTACGAAAACAGCACTGAAGCTGGAAAGTAATGAGCATAAGTACATGATTAAGTGCGAGTTTGAGTGTGAGTGTGAGAAAGACACTAACTTTCTACTTTCCACTGTTACATTTGTCTTCATGTTGTCATGTTTCTAAATTGAATGAACAAATTCGGTAAGAGGGGACAACTGAATCTTTATTACATAATTAACATTTGACTTTACAGGTAAAAACATTAAAAATAAAACTAATTTACTTCAGGATAGTGAGCTTCCACTTGACACCGTTTCTCATCTTTGGTGGCGCCAGGACCTCAGCATCTACAAAGAAAAAAATATGTTGTTATACCTGTTACAACCGACTTATTGCAACCTAGTGTTTGTTCACATATGGCACAGATCAGATACGCATTAAAAAGTTGTGCAAACAGTGACCTGCGAGTGTTTTTGTGAGATAATCTCTAGAAATGCTGCTGACCTTGTGAAGCTGCAGGTTTCTGCTGCTGCTGTTGGAAAGACGCCATGATGCTGTTTGCAGTCGAGTTTGGACCAGTGAGCTGAAGAGCAGGAACGAGGTGAGAGATTATAAGACAATGTTTAAATCCTAATAATGCACAAACGCAATGCTGCGTTCGTGTCTCATACATTCACAGAATGTGTGGTTGCATCTTCACTCTTATTCTTTGGGATATCTTGTGTTTTTAGTGTCATTTCATTTTCATGTACAGGATATTATTCCCTGTTAGCTCATAGAAGCAGTGCACAGAAAACAGTTGAATTCCTGATACAAGAAGATAATAATTAATTTTATCTCATCTTTTAAGTCACCTGTTACCGTTTGTCCAATCACAAAGTGAACAGTTCATAAAAACAAGTGTGAAGAAAGCTCATTACTAATATTATAATGACGTCTGTTATCAAAGTTACCGGAGCTTGGTTGTTCTGGAGGCTTTCCAGCCACACTTCAGGCACTGCTGTCTCCATCATCTGCAGAGCCTCCTCGTAGGCCAGCTGCAGCTTCTCTGCCTGTTTGTCGAACTGGAACAGCACCAGGGCTTTCAGCAGGCTGTGCACTTCCTCTGCAAGAGGGGAGGGGCGAATGAGCCGTCAGTCAAACTGGTTGAACTATACATGTCGCTCGAACTATATAAACTTCTCTACGAAGTACAACTGAATAGTTTAGATTTTATGAGGGCAGGTATTTAAATGCAGACTGAATGCTTCTCCAAAGTATTAACGCATTTCCCATCATCCTTCGCTGCATCATCCTTTTACTGCTACCTCTGTGTTGTTCACTTTAGAATTGCAGACACGTTTCAACGAGCAGATACAACTTAATCTTAGTTTCTGCAGCGGGAAATGAATCAAATCAAACACAGATGGTCTCCACATTATTGAAGTTATTGAAAATATAAAGCAAAGGAAATAGAAATGAGTAGGAGCCTTTGGGTGTTCAGGTCTGTACCTCTCATCTTGTCCACAGTGGTGATGATCTCACCCAGGGCGTACATCAGCGCCCGGTCCTCCATCGGGCTTCCTTCCTTCAGACTGAGCTTCTTCCGCTCGGCCTTCCTTCGGTTCTTTGATGATCTCCTGCAGTCAAAAAGAAAATCATCAAGTAATCACTTATCACCCGGGCGACACATTTAAAGTGTAAAAAAATTTGAACAGGAAGTTTTGTCTTACGAGGAGATGCGGGAGTTGCTGTGGGAGTATTTGGAGCCAGTCATCACACTGCTGGCCTCAGAGTAAAGCTCAGCATCAGGACAGTCTGGACCGTCCTCATCTGATAAGAGATGACGCAGGGTTAATGAAAATTATATATTATAAATCCTTTTTTTTTCTTCCTTCTTGTCCTGTATGCTTTAATTCATACTCTTTAGTCTATTTAGTCATATCATGGTGATTGAAACATCCTAAGCATAGAGATGGAGATTATGCTTTTTAGGCCTGATAAAGGGGTGAACATTTGATACTGTAAAGAAGAATGTTTGGGTTAAGTTTGACTTTAAGATACGGATCTGACATAAAATCATAACACTTGTTCTCACCCAGCATGTCCTGTCTGGCCTTCTCTTTCTGTTCTCGGACCACAGCCAGCCGGGTCCTGTGGCGCGTGAACGTCGCCACCTGAGCCTCCAGGAAAACAGTCTGGGTGCCGGCAGCTGACACAAGACAACATGACAACATGACAACAACACAAGACCACAAGACAAAAGTTCTTTGTTTAGCTTCCTGTTACTTTTATCCGTCAAAATTCTTTAAACCTCGTTTGGCTTCTCTCCTCCATTTTCATGAAATTTGAAGACGCTTGGAGCAGCGTGCTCACACTGCTCATGTGTCTGAACTGTTCTTACCTTCTAATAGAGCAGGTTTCAGGTTGGTTTCAGTGATGTCTTGTCTGTTGTGAATGTAAATCTGAAGCAGACAAAGAAATATTGTGGGTCATTATTAGAATTTTCTCAACATAGCCAGGCTTTTTAAATTTAAGTAAAGGTTTTTCCAATTTGCAAAAAGGTAATGACGAATAAAAAAAAAAAGAGTGAAAAGAAGAATTTTGCACACTGACCAATCGCAGCGACTCCTCCCAGACTGCACCGTTGATCAGAGCCAAGATGGCTTCCTCACAGTCCTGTTGGGAACAAGAGTACAGACCGTCAGAGCTCAGCTAGTTTGCAGCAGAGTTTAAGTATAAAAATCAACTTAAACAGTCTGTTTTTTTACATTTATCTGTTTGGTTTTGCTCAGTCAAAATAGCTGCTTCATTAGAAGCCATTTTGTCCAGCTGTTCAGAGGATCTTACTTTGGCGTACTGGTCCAACAGCAAAGCAGCTTCTGAGAACCGGCGCTGTTCGGTCAGCTTCTCTGTGAGGGGAGGAGGCGGAAACTATTTTAGGCTTTACATATAAAGAACTATACCATGTCTCACCAGCTAACCAGCTACCTGTTTGACTGACAACCTGTTGTCATGGTTACCTGCCAGGTCCCTGGCCAGTAGAGCCAACTGGTCGGGCGGTAGTGGGATCTGCTGCGCCACACAGATGGCGTTTCTCCAACTGGAGCTGCTGGCGAACGCCTGCAGGGCGCCGACCGACTCTCCACATCGCCACAGCAACAGGCCGGCCTGCTCGGCCTGCTGCTGCTCCACTAGGTGCTCAGCATAGGCGCAGCTCAGAGCCTGGAGGTCAAAGGTGGAAGTCAGTCTGATCTTCTATAATGATTTTTCAACAAGCAGTACCAACTTTCTGACTGTTGGTCATGTGTTTTGTTGTAACTTAATAATTGTTTCACGTTAGAAACTCTAGGTGTGGCTAAATGATGAATGAAAAACAGCTGTGAGGGGCGTTTGTTTTCCGTACCTTGTAGTGTGCGCTGTTTGCTGTGAACAGCCTCAGAGCTTCACTGTAGAGTTTCTGCTCCTTGACCAGCTGCAGAGCTTCAGGGAAATGTTCCTCTCCTGAACACAGAACACAACAACATCATGTCATGATCACTTTGGATTTTAGAGAAAAAAAATCTGCAAAACACCAACACACTTTTACTTCTTCCTTCTGTTTTGAAATTTGTGTGGTTTTTTTTTTACATGTTGAGATGAGATGATGATGTATGGCAAGCTTTGTGCATACATCACTGAGGCTGCGAGTCCTGTAACTGGAAAACCTTCATATTCAACAGGTGGCTTCCAGAGAAAAACAGACAGAAGTAAAAGGGGCCGAGACGACAGATGCAGTGTCACTGACCACACTTGCTGAGGTGAAGCAAGGCCTTCCTGTAGCGTTTCAGGTGTTTGTCGATGGTGTAGCGTTGGTAGTTTGGCTCCAGACTCTTCAGCATGTTCAAGAAGGGAAGGTACTCTTTGGGGTCCTGGAGAGACAGAAATGAAGGAACATTAGCAGACGACATGATGCCAAACTCATCCATCAGTTACACATTACTCATATAGTAGAGTGTAACAAACTCCAAACTCCCTTCAGAGCTGATTATCTAATTAGATTTTGATGCACCTCGCAGTGTAAGTTAACATATGTTGCAGCTTAAATGCCTCTTGTTTCATTTTTACTCCCCTCTGGTGCAAAATCTGCATGAAATAAAAAGAAGTTTCATCATCTTACTGTGATAAGGAGGTCAAATGTATCATAGAAATATGTTGATGTTCAAATACTTCCATTTTAAGTCAACAAAAAATCAACTGGCCTAATTAATGACCTCTTATACCCTATTGTAGTATCATGGTACTTAGGATGTGTATTTGTATTGGTGCTTTAGAGAACTTTGTGATCGTGTCTGTTTAGTGAAGTAAAACATGCAGTCAGGCGTTTTTTTTCCTCCTCCGGCATCTCGTACCTTCTGGGATTTCTCGGCCACCATGAGCACGAGGTCGAAGTCGTACGTTCCCAGAGAGTGTTCGTACAGGTCGTTGACATTGACGAGGAAGAGGAGGTACTTCAGCGCCTCTTCAGCTTTCACAGCGCCCGGAGAGTTAGGAGGGTTCTCTGGACAGATACACGCACAGCACTTCATGACATGATGACTGAGCATAAAAGAAGAGAAATTAAACATCCTCTCCTCATATCCACTATTCTGTGTGTGTGTGTGTGTGTGTGAGAGTGAGAGAGAGAGTGTGTGTAGAGGCGTTCAGCTGCTGTATACTGCTTCTCGTGTGTCTGAAGTGTGCTCACCGCGAAGCTCGTGGACTTTCTGCAGAGCGGTTTCCAGCTCCGGAACCGTCTTCTTCACATGAGTTGTCAATATCGACAGACAGAACCTGGATGGAGAACATGATCATTAATGTCTTGCTACTGATAAATTCACAGCACATCTCTGACCTAATCACCGTCTTCTCTCCTGGTTACATCCCCCACAAAAACTAGAGATGTGGATTAGTTCTGCTGGATGCACAACCTCTGTTTAC